GATCAGGAGCTTTCCCGGGAATGTCTGAAGGCGACAAGAACGCTGGGGTGTCGCAAGACAGGGCAGCAGGAGTGTGGGGCTGCTCCCTTGCTGGGCACAGACGCCCATGCCAGAGCGGCCCAGGGAATTCCTGCTTGGCGGGTCCCGGGCATTGGCTCCACACCCAGCGCGCGGCAGGATGCGCCTTSCGCGATCCTCGCCCTGCCATAGCCCAGAGGATGCTGCACTGGGGGCACCACGGAGGGGCCCGGGGATTAGAGCCTCCCCAGGSATCCTGAATACCCACCGCTGTTGCCCGCAGGGATATCGTGCTGGCGTCACACCTGAAGCCTCTAGAGAGAAAGGACAAAGTGGCCAGGAAAGGGAAGGAGCTGTGGAATCCGTGTGCGAGGCCCGCGCAGGGCGGGCAGGCCAGCAGCGAGGACATGGCCCAGGTGAGGGGCCTGGCCGGGGCCTTGGCCACATCCAAACGTTCCTCGGGAACCACTGGGGCTCTCGCTTTAAAGGGTAAGACTTATTCCAAAGGATTTCTGTGGGAAACATAGGAATCCCCAGAGTTACTGGGACTAGATAACTGTGGGGTTCAGTGAGAGWCTGTTCCAGCCCCGTGGGACTCGGGGAGCGGCAGCGCAGGGTGAGGCCGGAGCCGCGGTCACCTCGGCGCGGGGCCGGGACGCTCGCGGCGCAGGGGCCCTGCCTCGGCCCCGCTCCTGGCAGGCGCGGACACGGTGCCGCGTGCGAGGGGCCCTGGCTGGGCGCAGCGTCACGCTGAGCAGCCGCAGGCAGCGGCTCCCGCGCGCAGCCGGGCCCCTCGCACACTGTAACCCACAAAGAAGTGTTTCCCGGGGCAGTTGTGACTGTCCTGCCCCCTTCAGAGGACGCTGTCCAGCCTGAAGGGCCCTGCGCTGATGTCTTCGGCTTCAGAAAGCAGCCTGCGCCTCCAGCCCCCCTTGCTGCCCCCGCTCCTCCAGCGGTAGCTTGTTGCTTTTGTGCGGAAGGGTAGCCAAACTGCAGGCGCTATTCGGGARTGGGAACCCTATGGATTGATCCAGTCACAAAGCAGCCGTCGTGTTTTGTCCTGCGTTGCTTTCCTGCTGACTCCTCACGCCGGCTTTGCCACTTTGCTGCTGCGCCTGAGCTGAGCCCGGCAGAAGAATTTCCAGGCTGGCTTTTGCTGGCCCAGTGACACAGTGACAGGGCTGCTTTCCTGCTGATGGGAGCTGCAGCAGCCTCTGTCTCTGAACAGGTAGCTGGAGATACTTCCCGTGGATGCTTCTCACAAGTGTCTCATGAATTTTTGACAGTGACTCTCATTTGCCTGTTATTGCGAGATCCTTCTGCGATCCTTGCAGGCAGCTTTAGATTTGGCTGCGCTGAACAGTGATCCTCCTAGAGGAAATTCTCTTCSTAATCTCATTAGTGCTTGGGCTCTGATCTCCGGGGCATCCACATTTTGCATCTAAACACAGCCTGTTATTGCTGTGACTTGTTTTCACTCTCTSTATAAAAGCCTAAATATTTTAATCCTCCTTCAATCAGTGCCCGAGTCAAGTCGGTGCTGAGGAGTTCAGCAGCCTGATTACATGTTGGATAAAACAGATTTCCCTTTATCTGGCGATGCCATATTGAGCGTATCTCTCTCTCAGCCCAAGCCAGAGGCCCGTAGCAGTGTAGCAGGTAAGGAAAGGCAGTGCTAGGGGCAGCAGAACCATTCACATCCCTTATCTTTTATCTCCTCATCCCTTTGATTTGCTGTGTGCTGGAGCAGAGGTTCTCACGGAAGGAGCTCAGCCCGCAGCAGATCCCTCCCCGAGCAGCGCGCGGCGCCCAGCCCCTCTGCGTGGGTCAGGGGTCCTGCACCCCTCACCCTCGCGCCGCGTTCCCCTTTCACCCCTTCTTCTGCAGTTTCCCTCTGAAGTTCTCTGGCTTCCTTAGGGCTTCTCTGCTTCACGTTGTTTCCTTTTCTGCCCGCTTAGCCGCCTGGCCGGCTTCATGCAGCCCTTCAGCAAACCCTGCACTCGCTGTGTCTGTTGCACATCCATGGGTTGGCAAGCGGGGAGAAGGTGGAAACAAAACACAAGAAAGTCAGTAACTCATTTTTCCTCCAGGAACTACATCAACTGCCTGGAACCTCTGCTGAATTTTACAGAGATTGGCGCAGATGCTTAAAAAATGGAAAAGAAAAATACCAGCTTTTGCTTAAACTTGAAGGCAAGGCCTTGGGCAGGATCTTTCAGGCTGACCTAGGCTTTGGGCTCCTGGGTGAGTTCCTGACGGTGCTGGCGGAGCACGTCTGTYGCGAGGACAGAGACGCCGTCCTGCAGATCCTGCAGAGCCTTTCGAGCACCCGGCGCTTCGGCCTGAACGTGGATCTCCTCAGCGACGCGGAGAGGGAGAGCGGCAGGGCTCTGTTCAGCAAGCTGCAGAGCATGAGCACAGACGATCCGASCGCCGCGCCGCGCCGAGCACAGGGAGAAGCCCAGCTCCCGAGCAGCAGCTTGCTGAAGGGAGCCGAGGAAACGGCAGTGCTGGAGCTGATGAAACGTTACCAAGTTGGCTGAAGGAGCAGAAGCAAAATAGCCATGCAGGAACAAAAGGGGGTCCCAGCTCGGCTGTGTCCTCAGCTGCTGTGACAGGGACTCGCAGAGAGATGAGGCCCGTTTGGAGTGCTGCTGACTGCGTTTCCCTCGGCCTCTGYGATGCACCCAGAGCAGCGGTTCTGCACAAATAAAGGTTAGGCACAAAGGGCTGTGTTGTGAGTGCTGGGGCAGCCTGTCCTCACAGAATGACACTGCGAGAATCTCCTAGATGAGGAAAATAACTGAGGGAAGGAAAAACTGGGCTAGTGTTTATGTAGGAGAAGACAGAAAAACAAGTAGYGCCCTCCCTCTTTCATCTCTGTCCGTGTAGTCCCGGTCATGTAGGTGATTTAGGAAACGTAATCCGTGACAATTCCATATTTACCCATGCAGCCGCGGATGAAGGGGTTGATGGAGATGGAAATGTGGGGCAGGGGGTGGGTCTCGGTGCACTGGGCCCAGCCYGGTGCGCGGGGGGAACCCCACAGGTCTGTCCCCTCGTGACCCTGTRATCTTGGGCACAATCAGGTTTGCCRAAATTCCCCATAAATTGAAGTTTAGATGAAGCTGGCAAGCCTCAGTCCAAGAAAGACAGTCTCCGATACTGCCTAATACTGGTTTTAAATGTGAAGCCTTTCCATTTTCCCATCAGGCGCCTTTGCAGTTCTGGTGAGGGAGGAGCCGAGCAGCCCGGTGTGTGTTTGCAGCTCAGGCTCCCTTGAGCTCAGCTCAGAAACAACCCCAGGTTTGTTTGGGTCAGGAATCCAGCTGGAGGAGCAGAGGGAAGAGCTGCCCCCTCAGAGGCACCACAGGAGCGCCCGGGGCTGCGAGCGACGGTGGCTCTCGCCACCAMGGAGCCGCGGCCGGGGGAGGCTCCCCGGGGTGGGGAGCAATGGGCTCCTCTCCTGAGGCTCTTTCTGCTGCTCTCATCCACAGGATAGTCCCGAGGGAGGAGGTGGGCGCCCCGGGCCCCTCCCGTGCCTCAGCAGCCGGTTCCTGAGGTGCAGGGTCGTGGTCAGCCCTTAGCTCAGGCTCTGCTGCCGCTGCAGTGGATCTGGTCTCCCGKGGAGCTGTGGGTGTCCTTCCTACCCCGCCCCGAGCCTCTGCTCCTGCCACGAGCGCGCACTGGGTGCTAGGGGCATTCCTTAGGCTGTGGAGGTGGATTCAAACCTCAGAAGGCTTCACAGCCCCAGTCAGGTCCTCTTCCTCCTGGCACAGTGGCCAATGGGCAGTGGCTTTTTCTCCAGTGGCCACAGGTGACAAGAAGAGCTGAGCATCCTCCTTCCGAGGGATCCCTGTGGGAAGCCGAGGAGAGCTGAGCATCATCCTTCCAAGGGATCCCTGTGGGAAGMCGAGGAGAGCTGAGCATCATCCTTCCGAGGGATCCCTGTGGGAAGACGAGGAGAGCTGAGCATCATCCTTCCAAGGGATCCCTGTGGGAAGCCGAGGAGAGCTGAGCATCCTCCTTCCGAGGGATCCCTGTGGGAAGCCGAGGAGAGCTGAGCATCATCCTTCCAAGGGATCCCTGTGGGAAGACGAGGAGAGCTGAGCATCCTCCTTCTGAGGGATCCCTCTGGGAAGCCGCCCTGTGCTGGAGCAGTCCCTGCCGGCTGCGCTCTAGGAGCTGCTGGGAGCAGCTTGGGGCTTTCAGCAAGTCCCAAGGCCAGGGCTCGTATTTATCCCTCCTCGGAAGGATGGGAGCAGCCCGCAGCCTCCCATCTTCTGGGAGAAGCAACATCCCTCTTGTTTGCTTGGCAGACTCGGGAGAAATAGGACAACGGTGCGCGCTGCTGCTCAGAGGAGCAGACACGAGTGGTGGCAGCAGGAAGGGGGCAGCTCCGCGCGGGTACCTCCTGGCCTGGGTGTGGGCTCGGAGCTGGCCCTCATGAGCACGGAGGTGCGCCGAGGCCCCCCGGGCTGGTGCCAGCCTTAGCGCGGGCCAAGGCCGGGTGCAGGGAAAGCCTCMCATGGCTCCCGGACAGGGAGTCTCCACCGTTCCCCGTGCCGAGGGATTCAGCACCTGGGCGCTCGCCGAAGCAGCAGGGAAGGAGGAGAAGGCTGAATGTTGTATTGGAAACTCTCCGGGGGGGCCACGGAGAGCAGCGGCGCTTGGACACGTCCCGCTCTGTGCTCGGGCTTGTGTTCCTCAAGAGAGCCCGAGCAGTGCCAGGCTCCTTCCCAGCACCCGGGTCCCGCCTGTCCTGGTGCCCTCGCGCTGCAGCACCACCAGCCCTGGGCGGCGCCGCGCGCTCCGGAACCGGCACAGAGGGGTTCTAGAGCCCCGGAGCCGCCCGGCGCCGCTTCCCGGGAGCTGCTCGGCGGGCGAGACCCTCCTGGGCGCCGCCGGAGCCGCCTCCAGCCCCCTGTGCTGGGGCACTCTGGGCCCCGTCCTGCCCCGCCTGGGGCTGGGGCTGCACGCGGGCAGCGCCATGCGGGCCCCGCTGCTGCGGGCCGCCCTCCTCCTGCACCTGCCCGGCCTCCTGCGCGCCCTCGCCATCCAGGAGGACGACGTGTTCAAGCGCGCGGCCTGTCCCGCCTTCCTGCTCTTCGAGAACGCCGCCTACTTGGCCGACATGACCTTCGAGCTGCCRTGCAGCTGCAAGCCGGAGGAGGTCACCTCCGTCGTCTGGTACTTCCAGAAGGAYGAGGGCAGCCACCAAACCACGGTGCTGACGGACTTTGCTGGCACCCTGGTGGTGGACTCGGGCCACATCCACGTGGGCAGCGACGTGCTGAAGCGCTTCAGCATCCGCATGTTCAGCCTCATCGTCTTCCGGGCGCAGGCCAAGGACTCGGGCCTCTACCTGTGCGGCACCAAGAGAGGCGACTACTTCTACGGCTACGACGTGGACGTGCAGTCAACCCAGGGCATGACGGTGGCGTTCGTGGACAGCGGGCAGCGCGCCCGGGACGAGGAGGCCAGCGGCGCCGTCAGCCTCTTCACCGCCTTCTGGGCCTGGGGCCARTGCGACCGCTGCGGCGTGCGGGGCGAGCAGCGGCGCGTCGGGCTGTGCTACGTGCGCAGCGGGCGGCTGCACCCGCGCTACCGCGGCGCGCTGCCCAACGCGACGTCGTGCGGCTCGCGG